TTCGAAACCATACTATCATACGAATATAAGTAATGTAGTCGATTGCTATAGCAAACATATGTTTGCTTCATCGGCACTCCCACCAAAGAATGTGATATAGCAAAAGAGGCCTGACCTTCCTTGAAATTCACTTATGCCCTGTGACTCAAGGGTACTCGTGGCAGTGCAGTCGAGTGGTTAGCGTGTCAAGCTTCCATCATGCACTGTCGCGGTTCGACTCCCGCTGAGGGTGTTGATAAGACCGTTGCGAGGTCAAAACTGCAGTCCACCCTGGATGAGAACAACTTTTGGGAAAGCAAGGCTATGTGAAATTCAATGGAAACGTCGCTCAACTCATATCATTGTGGGAAAATTCTACTACCAGTCCTTCATCACCTTAGAAAAAATAGGGTGAATACATCTCAATAAATAGTAATGTTATAGTATTTCTGTCTCATTTTAATGTACTTAAATTTTCTCCTTGTTATTTAAGTTAACGGAAATTTTTCAGCTCATATTAACTATCGGCTTTTTTCCAAGACAGCTAGTATTCGTAATATGAATCTCCAGAGGTGATATACTTTATAATGAGGCCCATCCGATGCACGCAAGTACTCAAAAAAACATTCGAACTGATTTGACAAGGCCTGCTATCATATTTGATGGAGGAGTTTATAAGTGGTTTGTTTTATATAGACTGTATAGTTAATATCACCCTAGGATTTGCCATCTGTTGGCATGGTCACTCATTACAAACAATTATGCTTCTATTTTGCATATATTTTTGCATATATAATGAATTAATGAGTTAATGAATTTTATCATTTGAAGCTAGAATTTTTTGAAGTTAAACAAATTTTATTCTGAATCAAAAGATAAACTCTATCAAATGAGCTGTGTGGCTTTAAAAGTGACCTTCACGTTGTATATGCTAATATGATTTTATTGGTCGTACTTTTTAGTTTTACGTTTTTCAGCTAGGTGTTTATTAGATATTTATTGCATAGCATTACTTTGCTCTGATATCGATTATTCTCCTTTGCTTGATTCCCACTCTCATTCTGATCACCAAATTCCCATGATTTGCAAAATCCAGCGAAGCAGCTCATAGTATGACACTGAGTCACCACACCTTTACTACCTTCACTGCTATACAAAGTCCATCAGCATTCAGTACTAGCAGTGACATAGTCAATAATGCTGCTGTCCTTGCTATTGGGGGTTCGCAGTCCATCCAGGCAGTTACTGGACAGACATTTGGCACAGAAGAATCGCGAGCCGCCGCATTCACTATTGGAACAGAGAGTTCTTTGCTGACTGGTGAGGGCTTTAAATAATACTCGTTTTGATTAAAGACAACTTCCGCCACAGCATTATAAAGCCAAAGAACATTTGGAGTGCGTATAAAGCCAGACCTGCCACACTTCTAGTCTATTAGTTTCACGATGTTATTATGGGAGTTTTATACAGTTTATTTAATGTACCTTTGTTAAATTACCTAGATTTCAAGGATGCTTTTAATTTGATCAAAATCTAAACGTTTTTCTCAAAGTATCTGAAATATATGATGATAAAACCATTTTTCTGAGAGTTTATATATAGCTAATGCCCGATTACGCGAATAGAATCTTTGGATAAGACTATATCTTCATTTCAATCCAAAGTAACATTAAATTAGGAATGGTTTCTTCAAAACACTAGATTCTCCCAGACTGCCTTGACGAAATAGGATTTGTATTTGTTTTAAAACATTTGCTTTGACATTATAATCACTC